TACATATAATACATTCTACTAACTTTACAAATTATCATTACAAGTTAACAAACACTAAATCTATAGGAACAAAGCAATCCCAAACATTATATCTTACAAATTTTACACAATTATACTAAAATACTCTAACATAATGGACCAAACTTCAACAAAATCCGAACAGGATTGATGGGATTCATATTGATTTACTTGATAAGTAATCTTGTCCATTATATAAATTTCCTATAACAAGTGTTGGTGCATTTGGACATTTCCAAGTTGTGGCTATTGATGTTTTAAGTAAAGGTAAAGGCTTCCCTTGCTCAAAAGCCAATCGAATTCGACTCTAAAGGGTGGTGCTCATCTCCATTTCCAAGCCGAAGAGCCAGTGCTGTCCAAAGACGTGTCCATGGTCATGTGGCTGACATGACTAAATGCCAAGGCGCATGGAATGCTGTTACCTTCCTACCAAAGCGGTACCTATGTATCTACTTGAAATTTCTTCCTTTCGAACTGCTAGGTTGGCAGGAGCTGGGACCAGAGATGGGAGCTCACTCCGTCACTCGACACTCGGGTCTCGAACTGCCAAGCTACTGACCTTCCAGTCTGCAGCTAAGCATCTTAACCACTGAGCCACCGCGGCCACTATTAAAAGGATCTCAATCAGTTTTTTCCTAACTTGAGGAACTAAATCGTCCAACCAATAATTTAAAATACCTCTGGTGTCAAAGGCACAACATGCACAGTAATTAACTGTATCTTATCCAATATCAATCGCCAGAAATGTTTGATTTTCATACGCTGCCACCAGCAACGTGCATATGTCACTATTTCTCCACATTTTTTCCAACATCTTGGTGAGTATGACCCAGAGATATGTGGTAGCTTTTTTGGTGTACAGTACAATGTAAGCGAAATTTGTACAGTACAATATAAGTGAATCCCCCCCCAACAGCAACATGGAACAATATGCCTACATCACCTGGAAGTGACATAAGCACATCAGTGATGTTGGGGAGGCAACACTCTGGTTTTTGGGCAAGACTCTATGATTTGAGGGTGATTGTGCAATAAAGCTTTGCCCCCGAACCAGACTGTCACCCCTGAAGTGCCCACAACACTTCCAGGTGACGCAGGCATGATGTGCTAGGTCACTCCTGGTGATGTTGGCGCATCTGGGGTGACACTTCAGGCTCCTGGAGCATCCCCCCACCCCCTCAGTGACTTCTCAAAGGGACCTGTCAACCCTGACTTGGAGAGCAGGTTTCAGCTGCTTGTAATGCTGCCAAAGGTCTCAGAATTATTTTCTGCCTTGGATAATACTTCTTCATCAGAGAATAATTTCTCTTTCCTCTCTAGTTTACCTGCCGTATCTGCAGAGACCTGTGATGGCGGCGGCAGTAGTAGCTGGTGGGCTGAGAAGAGAAATGATTCCCCGTGCTTCCTCTCTTCCTTGTGTGTCATATAGGCACATTGAATGCACAATATTTGTGGCATCTCTTACCTGCTAGGTAATATAGAGATGATTTTAAAAATAAAACCTCTCCAATCTAATATTCTTGCTCATGATGCTGCATTTCAGTTGTTTTTATTGGGAGACTGCCCACATCCCCTGTATCATCTGTTTGGTCTCTAGATGATTCTTGTTTTACTGCTTTCTGAAAGACATCATTTAACAGCATTGTGTGCTTAAGCCAGTGGAAGTTAATAGTTTTAAGTACTCAGTGTTGGATTGTACATTCTAATCTAAATATTTAGAAACATTTGTTCTATAAAAATTTCTGCAAATGTGTTGCCTGAATGATAGTAGACAGTTCAAAACATTTGACTGTGGCCTAGTTGTGTTTACAGATGAAAAGTCTGAAGTCCTGTTTTGTATGTTTAAAAAATAAAAACAAAAACTACTGTTTTCTTTTTGGTTCCCATCAATTATGTTCCCAGTAGGAATAAAATTATGTAATTTACTAATGAGCAAAATCATTCAGATGAACAGATAATTATGGTTAGGACTGAGCTTTAAGAAGTTCAGTGTTGAAATGCTGGGATCATTTGTTGAAAGATCCCTTGAGAATAAATTTATTGGGGTTCACAGTTTTTTGGAACTTTTAGGAGAGCACCTACCTGGAAGACTTCTAAGTTTATTCTGATTGTTCTGAAGATGTATATTACTAGACATTGCCACAAAAGCAGTATTTGTATTTTCAGGGATACAGTTTCAAGCTTAGCATGCTGTGCTGTGTCACATTTAGTCTTTTGAAAGGCTTGTAGATTTTTGAATCCTTTTGATTTACAGAAATGAGTATATTTCTGTAAATCAAAAGGATTAAAAAATCTACAAGCCTTTCAAAAGACTAAATGTGACATAGCACAGCATATTAAGCTTGAAACTGAATCCCTGAAAATACAAAATAGATTACTCAGGGGTCATTTCGTAGAAAAAGAGCTAGGGGGACTCATTAGCATAACTCATTAGCATATGCCACACCCCCAACATCACCGGAAGTGTGTCCTCCCCACAGCCGGCGGCGACCTCCAGCGGACACCAGCAGGGAGCTCCAGGCCCCGCCCTCCCGCACCTCACCCGGGGGGATGGCGTCCCCCCGCGTCCCTCCCCCAAATGACCCCTGAGATTACTGTAGCTGCAGGGTGAGACGTAATTTAGTTTTTAAGACATCCAGTTCACTGATAAAGACTGGGTTTTTTTTTAATTTTGCCCAAAATATCTCAAAATTATTTTCTAGTGTTCAATGATTTCTGACAAAATATTTTACTACTCATCAGTAGCTAGGAAAATTAGCAGATTGCAATGATAGAAAGGATTCTTTAGTAAATTTATTTGTTTACTATTTAGCTCACCTCCTTGCTGAGATTCAAAGCAGATTACAGTGTGTAAAATTGTGCAATCAAATAGCATGAGACATCCAATAAACAATGATATAGGAGTAGGATTAGAGAAAAAATAAAAACATTGAAAAATTAACAGACCATATGCAAAAATGGAATTACAAAAGTAGGAAAAATGCAATAAGAGCAAGATAATGTATACAATAAAAGATGGAATAGATGACCACCCAATTCCCTTTATCAAAATGCTCTCCTGAACAATTCTGTTCTATGCAGTTTGCAGAATAACAAAAGTGAGTGGACCATTCATTTCATACCAGGCATTACACTGCAACCCCTTCATGTCTTACAGAATATAGAACTACTTGTAAATGGAGTGTAAATAACTCAGCATTTTAATTCTTTTGCATAGTTTCTTCAAAACAGAAAGCAGAGGAAGATGTTGGATAAGGTGTTAGAGGCAACCATTTGTGCCTTATTTAATGAGATGGAAACATTGTAAAATGGGCTTTATTACTGGCTTTTTTTGGTAACTGCAAATATTCATGGAAAATCCTGCTTTACTGTCAAAATTCTTCAGTACTCTATTGGATTTCCTTTCTCCCCTAGTTTGCCTAAGAACAAATCAGTGGGTGCTTCGGTGGTCAGCCTAGGGTTGCCAGTTTTGGATTGGGAAATAACTAGAGATTTTGGGCATGGAGCCTGAGAAGGCTGGGGTTTGGGGAGTGGAGGGACTTCAGTGGGGTATAATGACGTAGAATCCACCTTCCAAAGAAGCCATTTACTCCAAGTGAACTGATCTCAGTTGCCTAGACATCAGTTGTAATTAGGGCTGCCAAATCCCCCCGAGGGGCGGATTTCCCCCCGCTTTGGAGGCCCGATTTCCGATGCCGCGGAATCGGGCCCCGGGGGAAACCCCACCCCGGCGTGCACGTCACCCAGATGTGACATGATGACGCCGGGCACGCTGGGGGCGGGCCACAGCCATTTGAGGGGAAAACATAGAGTTTCCCCCTCAAATGGCTGTGGCCGTGCCCCCAGTTTGACCGACGTCATCACGTCACATCCGGGTGATGTGCATGCGGCGCGCGCGCAGAGCGTGTGCACACACAACCAGGACACCGTCCGGGAGCCCCCCGCCGCAGGAATAAACAGGTTTGGCAACCCTAGTTGTAATCCCAGGAGATCTCCAGCCACCGACTGGGGGCAGGCAACCCTAGGTCAACCATGCAAGAAACCAGTAGAAGGTATCAAATCAATTTGTGATCCAAAGTGGCATCATTGGAACTTGCTTCCAAGACTTGTAGACTTCAGGAATTTAAGCCACAGTAGGCCACACAAATAGAGCAGAAATCATGCCTTTGAAAAGCAGCTATTTCTAGATAGCTAATTGGCTGCCGAGGTTAGGGGTGGACATGAACCACAAAAGCTCAGTTTGGTTCGTGGTTTGTGGGCGAACAATGAACTAAGCCATAAACCCCACAAACCCAGTCAGCTTGCATACAAACTGAATTGGGCTAGTGAGGTTTGTACCTGAAACAGCTGAGCCACGGGGGCAGACTGCTCCCACAGCTCAGCTGTTTAAAGGGGTTTTCTTAGGCAGCCAGTCCCTGGGTCTGAGCCTGAGGCTGGCTGGGGCTGGCTGCCCAAGAAAGCCTCTTTAAACAGCTGAGACACACAGAGCAGTGTGCTCCACCACACCGCTCAGCTGTTTAAAGGGGCTTTCTTGGGCCACCAGCCTCAGCCAGCCTTAAGCTCAGAGCCATTTAAACCCCTGCTTTTTGCTCCCTGCTCCCACCATGAAATGCATCAAAATTTGTGAACATTCATGATTTCTGTTCGTGCCCAAAATTTGTGATGAACTTTAGTTCATCAGCCGGTTCATGCCCATCCCTAGCCAACGTTATTAGACTATGATTTTTTTTCCCCTGCTATAATAAATAATGCTTTCATAATAAAACATGTTTGTATGCAGGTTCTTTTCTGTCTTGTTTGCCAGCCTTGCACTGTTTCAATGCTTTTACTGACAATGGGTAAATGTGAACAAAGAGATAATACGTATGGTCCAAGACTCTTCTCGGCGTGTTAATCAACAAAGAAGGTATCGGATCATCATCTGATTTTTAGCCTGGTTAAAATGGGCTGTTATATGACTGTTCTAATATTTGTATTTTCAGTGGGAAGAAATAAGTGGAGTGGATGAGAACTATACTCCAATCAGAACCTATCAAGTTTGCAACGTTATGGACCATAGTCAGAACAATTGGCTGAGGACAAACTGGATACCACGTAACTCAGCTCAGAAGATCTATGTGGAGCTCAAGTTTACCTTGCGGGACTGTAACAGCATCCCACTTGTCCTGGGCACTTGCAAGGAGACTTTTAACCTGTATTATATGGAGTCAGATGATGATCATTCTGTCAAATTTAGAGAACATCAGTTTTCTAAGATTGATACCATTGCTGCCGATGAGAGCTTCACTCAGATGGATCTTGGGGATCGAATTCTCAAGCTCAACACAGAGATACA